CAGAAAACGACATCAGAGACCACACCCGTGAGCTGGCCTCTGCAGAACGAGCCACCCTTCCTGGATAGAAACCCTGAGGTGATACTGGGCTGGAAACCTGAAGTGCTCAACCCGGCTTACCGCTTTCGGAGGAGGCAATGTTATCTACCACGGGGTGATTAGGACAACAATGGACGTAAATCCCAGCCACTGCTGGAGAGAATCTGCTCTGAATTCAATTTGGTTCGGTTCAATCCAATTTAATTCAGTGCAGACATGGAGGGGCCACTGCGCACCCTACAGGGGCTGCTGTGCCAAGTCCAGAGGAGAAGGCAGAGGCCCCTCCTGGGCATCTTTACCAAGTCAGGCATGAGATACCACACGAGGACAGAAACTGGGTGCTGGAAAACGGGGTTCAAGGTGATAGCTATCTGGAAGACCCTGGGTCAGCTTGGAGAACCCCAAAGACTTGGCCGTGTTCTTGTGCTAGTCCATGGTCAGTGGCAAGTTTTGAAATGTTGCTAATGAGCACTGTGGACTCTGTGCCCGTATTTCTTACAAGATACGTGCACGGAGAAAGACAGCACCGGTTCAGACTGACAGGTGTCTGTAGGCATGACACGTGAGAGAAACTGGGACTGGGGCCGGCGGAGCGCAGGGGCTCTATGAGTTCCCGGCTGAGTCACCTTGAGCAGGCTATCTTAACATCCTCAGCCTCAGTTTTCTCATCTATAAAAGGGGACTGAAAACATTACCTGCCTGATACGATTATTGCAAGGGCTATGAGAAATTGTGCAAATAAAGTGCTTAGCACAGTGTCTGGAAAGAATTCAGAAAGTGTGAGCTGATACAATTCTTATTCTGGATTGGTTACTTTGAAACAAATCTTATAGGTTGATTACCTCTTATCCAGAAATGCTCCAGATGTGGGGTTTTAGAATCTCTGCACATACATAATGAACTATCTCGGGCTGGGACCCAAGTCTAAACATGAAATGCGTTCATAATTCATGTCCACCTGATATGTACAGACCTTTTTTTGCCATAGGGTATATACACTTCCTGGAGAGAGACAGAGAGAGGGAAAGTGAGAAATCACACCCAACCCCAACCCTGGTCGGGGGGCTGGCCATATTGCAATCCCTTCTCCATTCTCCTCTTGGGACTTGAGGCGCACACACACACAGGAACCCGGTGCACTTTTCAAGCTGCAAGGTCTAGGACTTGAACCATGGTTGGCACCCTAACCACCAAGCCACCTGCTGGCCCTGAAGGTGACTTTATAAACATTTCTGTACTGCAGTATTGTGACTACAACCTGTCACATGAGGCTGGGTGTGTTAATTTGCTGCCTGTTGACATCATGTCGGTGCTCAAAAAGTGTCTGATTTTGGAGCATTTGGGGTTTAGATGTTTGGATTGGGGTGCTCAGTCCATCATTGTAACTGGATCCCTTGCCTGGCCGGTGGTACCTCCTAAATACCTACTGAATAAATGAATGTGTGAGCAAGTGCACAGCTTAGAAGCGATAGCCATCCGGAGGGCCCGGGATGCAAGCTAAGGGTTGGGACTCTCCCCCAGGGTGAAGGGGCCATCAGAAGCTTTATGCAGGGCAATGGCAAGGCCAGACTTGGGCATTTAGAAGGGTCACACCAAGCTGAAACAGAAGCTGGACGGCGGGAGGAACTCGAGTCCGGCAGGAGGCTGGTTCAGCACGTGAACGAGGTGAAGAGCACCCGTGTTGCTGAGAATGGGTAAAACAGAAAGGTGTTTAGGAGGTGGAACCGGTGGGACCTGGCAACTGGGAGCTGGGAGCAGATGGCCACTGCCCAGCTCTGGGAGACACCCACATGACGACCCCACTGGATGCCCGTAGCTGCTGCGCTCAGGCTGCCTTCCCCTCTTCTCTGGCCCAGAGCAGAGGTCTGGTCCAGGGTTCCTGGGTGCCCTGAACAGGTGCGGTGGGTAACCCGTGAAAAATGCTTCCCCACGACAGATCTCAGAGCTTACAGCTGGGGCCAGTAGCCAGGTGCAGGGAAGGGTTTCCCTTGGCAGTCGGGCCTCAGCTGGGGCACGGAAGTCATTCCTAATTGCAGTGTCTTTCGGGGGAAGTCTCCAAAGCTGGTTAGAGGATTAAAAACCTCCGAAAATAGTCCAAATAAGAGAAGGGACTCCATTTGGTTCTAGCTACTTCGTGCTGAAAGCAGCGCGCAGAACCGTCACTCAGTTCCCACTCGGCCTTCACCGTGACAGCGGGACAGCGCGTCACACCTTCCAGGGAAACTGCGGCGCAGGGTCTTTCCTTCTTTCTTTTTAAAATATGACCCAGTTCTTCGGGGGAGGAGCCAGAACTCAAACTCGACTGCCTGACTCCAGAGTCCATTCTCTCTGCTGCATGACATATTTCATAATGTTTAATTTTAAAAGTCCCATTTCTTCAGACATTCACACACTGCCCGTGGCAGTGGAAAATGATCGAATGCTTTTAGAAAGCAATTTGGCAATAAGAATCAAGAGTCTTAAAAAATATTCATTCTGGGAATCACTCCTAGAGAAATAATCATAAATTCAGGGGGGAAGAAAAGCTTTACACACCGAAAGGTTCTCCACAGCCACATTTATAACACGAGCAACTAGACACAGTCTCAACGTCCAGAGAGAGAGAGATGGTGAAGATGGTGACTTAACCACATAATAGAAAGGTCCACATAACAGAGACAAAGCTCACGTTACACGTGCCAGAGCCAGAACATAAACGCCAGCACAGTATTGGGTCGCTGGAAAAGTCTTGACGCATTTTTTGCATAGAAAAACTCGCCACTTTTCTGGCTCAGTATCACCCAGTGACGGTGTTGTGGAGCTACTGAGGTTTTCATTTTGGCTGTTCCTTCTCTAGTCTTCATCAGCCCCTTCCAAATCACTCCAGAGTTTAAAAAACGACTATTCAATATGGACAATAAATGATTTCTTAATTTTGTACAAGGTGGGACTAAAATTCTCTGTTTTTATTGATCTGTAACACAGAATCCAGTAACGCATATATTTTACTAATACAGAGTTTATATTTGCCTTTAAGCCCCTCGTATGCAGAAATCCCAGAGCTGTCAAACCTGTCATTCCTCCTTAATACAGAGATCCTGGATAGGAAAAATTCCCTCCCTACTCAAGAAAAGTATGCAGTTGACAAAGGAAGAAACACAATGACAGGAATTCATGGCTAATGTAATTGTCTAGCCGAGAAACACTAAAATAATCCACTTCAGCATTTTTCTTTGTTAGTTTGAGGGAAGTTCACCGAGATGGCTGGTTAAGAAGGAAACGTGCAAAAATTGCAGCTCTCTTAGTTACCAGCAATAAACAATTAGAAAATGTAATGACAAAACGATCCTATTTATAATAACAAGCAAAGCCATAAACATACCTAGGAATAAACCTAACGAATTTATGAGGCCTACATGATGAAAACTATAAAATTTTATTAACGATCATAAAAAAGACCTGAAAATGACAGGCATACCATGGTCCTGGACAGGAAGATCCACTGTTGTAAAATGTCAGTTCTCTTGGAGTTAATCTACAAATATAGTGGAATTACAACAAAAATTACAATGGAACTTCTTTGGGGAAATCTGAAAAATGCATTCGGAAATTCTTCTGGAAAAGTAATACAGAAGTATTACCAATAAATTGTTTTAAATATGATGATAATGAGGGGCATCTTTTCTCACTGGAAACAAAAATTACTAACTATAGCGAAGTTCAAATAATACGATTATGACAGAGAAATAGAATAACATAATAAATTAAATAGAACACAAAGTCAGGACAGAATCACAGAAAGATGTGATCTTAGTTTATGATAAAAGGGTATCTTCACATCAGAAAAAAACAGCTTTAGAGAGAATTAATTGTTCACTAGGAACTAAAAATGACTCAATTTGTACTAACTATAGCGAAGTTCAAATAATACGATTATGACAGAGAAATAGAATAACATAATAAATTAAATAGAACACAAAGTCAGGACAGAATCACAGAAAGATGTGATCTTAGTTTATGATAAAAGGGTATCTTCACATCAGAAAAAAACAGCTTTAGAGAGAATTAATTGTTCACTAGGAACTAAAAATGACTCAATTTGTAACTTGCACCACAACTTTAGAGATAATTCATTATTCACTAGGAACTAAAATATGACTCAATTTGTAACTTGCACCTACATAAATGACAGAATTCATTATTCACTAGGAACTAAAAATGACTCAATTTGTAACTTGCACCTACATAAAAATATAATTCAGATTAAAAAACTAGGAATGGGGCCAGTGAATGGCATGGCTGTTAAGGCACTGGATCCCACATGGTTGACTCAGCGGTTCCAGTCCCGGACCAGGTAGCTTAAAAAACACACCAGGTGCATGTGTGCATGCCCAAAATTCCAAGAGGAGAATGGAGAAGGGACTGTGGCGTGGCCCTCCTCTGGGACGGGGGCGGTGATTTCTCACTTTTCCTGTCTTTCTATTTCTCCCTCTGTGACTTTCCAGAGAGCACACATGACTTATGACAAAATCTAAATCCAAACAAAACACACTAACCAACAAAAATGCTAAGAGAAAAATGAGACTCTGAGGGTTCTAGGAGAACTAGAGAAGGCTATTTCAATATTCTCCAAGTAGGGAGATGTTGCCAGCCAACATATGGAATTCAGGAGTTTTATTATGTGATCAAATGTGAACATCAACTGATTTGATCTCATAAAAATTTTAAATGTCTCCTTCTTTGAGAGAATAAAACAAGGCTAAAAAAACAAGTTGCTGATGGATAAAGCCTTTTTAGAACTAATATTAGTATTCAAAATACACAAAGCGGTTTTATAAATCAACAGGGAAAATACATAACCCAATAGAAAATGGATAAAGAATATACACAGTCCAGGGGGTAAAATCGAAATGGCCGTAACACATGAAGAGACGATTAACCATGCTGCTTACTGAAGGAAAAAAATTAGAAGAAGAATGAGCTGTGTTTTTTTAATCAAAAATGGAAAAAAATACAACTTTAATTTGGGAAAGACGTCGGGAAGTATCAAGCTTGGTCCGTGACTGCTGGAGACATTAAAGCGGCACGGGGCCTCTTTAGGAGGACATTTTGGAAGAATCCAAATATTAAAATAATGCATACTTTGACCCAGAAATTCCACTGTGAGAAAGACACCCTACAAATGATCCGGCGTGCATAGGGACACAGTCATGGTGCTGAGAACTGTATGTAGTTCTGTTTTAAAATAGTGAAGAACTGCAATACGAGGCGACTGTAAAAAAATGCAGATACCTGAGGAGATCGCAACAAGTTTATGGATTTCCAAATGTTTTGCACCAAAATAAACTTGTACTTTAATTGAAATTTCCACGAACTTTGTGAAGTCCTCTGGCACATCCTGAAATTGAAAAATGATCAAATGTATATATTGAAGAGAATAGAAATAAGCTATAGAATAAACTATGTTCGACCCTTATCGTATAAGCGTGCGTGTATCTAAACGCACAGGAATACACGTCTACAAGGCGATATTCCAGCTGCTAATGTTTGTCTCTGGGGAGGACAGTAGAATTAGGGTAGGGTTGACAAACAGAAGACTTTAACATTTTTTTCTGTACCCTTGAGTGCATTTCGAATTTTTCACAACAAGCGTGAATTGGTTTTGTGAATAACAGAAAAAAAAAATATATATATATATATACCCGCATGCATGTATAACTGACACACAAATATACACACTCTATAAATACAGCCCTTTAAATTGGAAACAAAACTATGCCTAGAGAAAATGAAAGGAAATGCATCGGAACATCCATGTGTGAGAGCTGATTTATCTAGCTTTTCTCTATTTTCTAAATTTTTTTTAATGACCATGCCTTCCATTTACTGGGGAGATAAAAAATCAAAATACTTCTATTCTTTTTAAGGTCTGTTTTCTTTTAGCTGGAAACCAATTCAGTAAAATAACTGCCCTTTCCCTCCCCCCCCCCCCCCCCCCCCGGGGCGGGGGGGTGTGGCGATTCCCGCAGAGGGTGGTTGATGATTTGGAAGCAGAAAGTGGGGGCTCGACGTCCCCGGGTCCTAGCACCTGCAGAGGTAAGTGCCCGCCTGCAGGTGGGAACGAGAGCAGGCAGGTCTGCGAAGGGCGTCGTGTTGTCCCATTAGAAGTGATTAATGGCCTGTTCTGAGCATAACAGCACGGGTGTAGCAACGACGACGCCCTGCTCTGACCGTGAATGGGCCAGAACGGGT